TAAAGCATCCTAGTACAATGAGCAAATGTAGGCAAAAGGAACTCACTGTTAGTCCAATGCCTGAGAGGCTGACAACAGTGACACTCCTCCAATGCTCAGCATAACCCACTGTAGCTTCCCCAGCAACACCTGGACCGCCTCCATTAGAGAAATTTGACCTCATCAGCTTTAATAGCACGCCCATTCCATCAATCTGTTGGCCTGAACCGCCAGTTCTCCACATTATCACCCCTTTCAACGGATCTCTCCTCTTCATCACCCTCATTTCCACCCTCAACTCCCCCTCTCCGCCCCTTTCACTATTTCCCTCACTGCTCCTTTCCTTCAATTCAATCTCGACAGTGTCCTGCGGGGAAGGTAGCGCCACCATGACCTGGGACTGAAGCTTCAACGCCACCTGATCCTCATCATCACCGGCATTCCAATCCAGCTCAACTCTAAACCCTAAATGCTGATTATCCTGCAGGTCCTGAAACGACGCCGTGGGAGATGCGGAAAACGGCGAGACTGCAGAGGACGATCGCGATGATGTCGGTGTGGTTTCATCTAGGAAATCGTCGGTGCCGTAGCTCAAAGTCAGGTGAAAGACGTCCGAGGGACGTTTCCACCCCAAACCCCATGACATTGAGAAATCACAGTCTTACGTCGTGGGGATTATGATGAAATGACAGCAATCGGATCAAATGAGATCGGAGAATGAGAATCGGAATTGTAGATTTATAGAAAAAAGGAAATGATCGATCAGATGTGTTGGCATACAGTATATAGATGATGATATTAGTGCATGGCAAAGTATATAGAGATATCTGATCATGGAGTCTTTCTACTGAGTTGAGTTCATCTCTCTGTGTTGTTTTTATCCCATGTACGGAGTTGGGATGGGATGGGACGGGCCGGACGGTTTCTGATTCAAACGGAGAGCAGGTACAAGACTACAAGCCTCCAAGGTAGTCGTGTTCACTTTTGACTAAAATACAACCTCGGTCCCATAATTATCTTCATTCTTTCTTTTTTGGTTCATCCCAAATTTATCTCCTCTTTCCTTTTTTAGCAAAGCATTTGTGGTTCACAACCATTCTTACACATTTCTCTCTTCTGCACAACTCTCCACCACACATTTTTCACTTTCTTAATCTCTGTGCCTAGTCAAAACCGAAGTTAATTCTGGGACGGAGGGAGTAACATTTTTCTTTTGCAAGAATATGCAAAAAAATAATCTTTTTTTTTGAGAAAATTGTTAAATAAGTTATCATACGGAGTATTTCAAAATCAATCAATTGAATGCCGGAGATTGAGTACTAGAGAGAACGTTGGAGTCTGGCATCCATGTATCCTACATTCGATGTACGTATCCCTGACCCAATTAAGAAAAGAGTTAAAAGACAACTCATTTAATTAATACAGTCTAATTTTTTTGAGATATTACCCGAAATAGGACTAAAAAGTTTGAAAATTCCAAAATAAGACTTCCATGTTTTTATTCTCAAAATAAGACTAATTACTGTCCTGTTTTGGCAGTACCAGACTTCAAACATGGCAGTATATTCCAAATTTGACAGTAATTAGTCATATTTTAAGAATAAAAACATGACAGTCCTATTTTGGAATTTTCAAACTTTTTTATTCCTATTTCGGGGAACTTTCCCAATTTTTTTCAATGTCATTTTTGTAATTCAAGCGAAAATTTATGGATTTTGCTAAATGAGTATTAGTGTACTTTTAGTGAACAACTGAGCCATTCTAGTGAATATTAGAAGGCTAACAATGAGCATCACGGTCTCTGCTTCATACCTTTTCATTCAATTTTTTTTCTTTTGTAAAAACTTATTAAATTATATCTATAATACACTCCTATAAATTTCAATATGCGAATTTAATGTAATATGATATTTTTGAAATGTGCATTGATATGACATTTTAAAATGAGCATAACATCAAAACCAAATGAGCATACATAACTTACAAAATATTCATTGATGGAAAATCGTAAGGTTGGTTAGATTAACATAACGACATTTTCTTTGAACATCAAACCTCCTCTATTAAGATGAAAACTACGGTTTTTGTTAAGTGAGAATTAATGAACTTTTAATGAGTATCAGACCTATTCTGTTGAGTATTAGAATTCCAATATTAAGCATCGTGAATTCTGCTTCACAACTTCTGATTCACTTTTTTGTTATTTTTTCTTTTATAAAAACTTATTAAATACGGAGTACTATTTATAATAAAGTCTTATGAATTTCAATATGCAATCTAATATAATGTATATGTCATTTTAAAATGAGCATACAACCGGTACAGAATGAGTATACACAATTTACAAAATGAACAACGAAAAACTCAAAAGCTCATTTCTAATCTCCAATATGCTCAAATGTTTTTTTTTTTGAATAAAATGTAAATGTATTAATATCCAGAAAAATTAGCATATACAATGCATCAAAATAAAACTATCTAAGCTAGTCTAAAACTAGCTATCAATAGTATCCCCTCACCCCCCCACCACCACCACCACCTAATGAAAGGTTGGGGGAGAAGTTTTTCAAAAGGCCCAATCCATAAAAAAAAATTAAACTGGCATCTTCTAATCCTTTTCTTCTCCCATTTTGTGTACACATTTTTTGTACCTCAAGCATTTTTCTTGGTATCATTGCCATTTGTTTCCTATTCAATTTGTTTCTTTTCTACACAGAAATTATTGTAAATCAAAAGTACTAGAAAGTTCAAACATGCGCAACATATATTGAAAATAAAAAACGAAATTGTCATGATCGAGTTTATTGAGATTTTCAGTACCCAAATTGGCATGAACACATTCATAATTCTTTACTTAGTGTGACTAGGAACAAATTGGTGGAACTTGCTGAGATTAGAATATCCTAATTGATTGTGGTTAAGAAGTGGTAAAACATTAGCAATTATAATTGATCAAGCCATTAAGGGTAGTAGCAGTAAAGTTGTTGTGGTTGCAGGCCAATATCAATTATTTTTCCTATCCATCGGTCTCAAATTGTAATAGAGCTTGAAGCAATGTCAAGCAAATATTCACTTGCAAAATGTACTTTTTGACTAAAGGGTCCCAATGCTCAAGTTTATATTAGGTTAAAGATAGACAGTCAAATCATTTTTTGAAGTTTACTGCGCCAAAATATACATATAAAAACGCAGTCAACTTCAAAAAATGATTTGACTGCATTGAGTCTAGGGTAAACACCGGGTATTTGACTAGGTACAAGCGGTTACTGGTCCTGGGTTCCAATACTCGGGACCGAACCAAACGGTTCCGATCCCGATTCAGTCTTGGACCATCTATTTTTTTAGCCTAGAAAATGAAGAAAGAAAATAGAACGAGACCGAGTCCGGCCCAGGGTCCAAACCGGGACCGGACTGAGACCCGTAAAAACCTGGGTTTCACGTTTCACAGACCAGGACCGGCTGGTCCGGGTCCATGCCTAGTCATGATCGATAGCCTACAAGCAAGTATACACAACAAGCATCTTACGAAAGTATGCAGGATACTCAGAGCCGGCTATGACCGGCAGGCACCTAGGCCACTGCCTAGGGCACCACAACCAAGAGGGGCACCACTTTTGTAAAAAAAACCACTATTATTTCGTATTATATTAATGCTTTGGTGACTACGAGCCACCACTACGACAGTATGACCTGTTAGAGGCATATTATTGCTGCAACCGTTCAGCTGGTGTTTGACCATTCACGAGGCAGCACTACGGATCCTAATAATACTTCGTATTATTTATTATAACTATCCTTATATCACTTCCCAATTATTGTCTTTTTCTCTTCCTTGTTTGCTGCTACTATAGATATTATCCTGCATACACTATAACGATGTTGTAACTATATATATAGCAGCCACTCTATCACATTAGAGTGGCGTCTGATTTTTTTTTAAACAAATACAGAGTATACCCTCAAGCAAAAGAAAGTAAGAAATCGAGCCACTCCGCCATTCTTTCTGCCGTTCTGCCAGCCAACCTATATATTTGAGATTTCACCACTGATAAATAAATACTCTACATCCAATTTATAATTACAACTATTATTATAAATTGCACAGTATTAAACTTGAAATTTTCTTGAAGCATTTCATTTATAAAATTTAGTCTGAAACTTGTTCCCTTTAATTTTTCAAATAGTATTTCCGTATTTACTAACTTGTCATGTAATTAATTAGCACAAAATTATTATTTTGTAGTGTGTATTAGGGAAATGGAAACAACGGCCAGAGGCTTCAAAGTGTAAAATTTAAGAAAAGAAAAGATGAAGTAATGCAATCTTTTGTAAAAAAGAGTTTTATCTACTCTTGATTGTGGTGATGTACTTACGAATTTTACACATCAAAAGGCAAGAAGAATATGGTATGAGATAGTACTTAATCGTTTTATTTATTTCTTAGTAGGATTTATATTTTCACATAGTTTATATCCATATTAATTCAAGTATTACCTTTTACATTTAGTAAAAATTGTGTTATAATTTTCTAATTACTTCATATATGATTTCGTTATTAGTTTTAAATGTTATTTGATCTCATTAGTCATTTTTGTCTGGGGCATCAAAATTTCTGGAGACGGCCCTGAGGATACTTCCATCGAGTCTGAATTGCATAGTCCGTGAGTGAAGAGAATCACAAAGAAAACCAACGAATAATTGAGTGACCAGGGTTTTTTAGGGGTTAAATAAGTTATCCAGAACAGGACCCCCGATTTATGGGCCCCCATATTTTAAAAAATTTATTAGTATATAGTACTCCGTAATGTTATATATTAATACTAATAAGTAAAGTACAATTAGTAAGAAAGAAAAATATATATCCATCATTTTGTCGTTGGTCCTTTTAGTTCTCTTTTACTTAAATTGCTTGAATAATGAGTTGTGTTGCTTTAAATCAAGTACTCATATTAAGTAAGTTTTAGGTTTTTTTATTACATAATTTTTTTATCATCGAACGGGCATTCATTCATAAAAAGCACTTAGAAAGGGGTTGAAATAACAAAAGGACCACATGTAACCATCCGCCCGTGGACGAGACTCTGAGTTAATCACCTTTGACAAAGCAATATAACTCGCTAATCCTAACTTGGGCATATTCAAAATCACGAAGATTACCACATGCCTCTCATCCCCCAATCCAAGTGCAAAAGTCTTACAGCATAAAATAAATAAGCAACAAAACACAATCGATATAAAATAAAAACAAAACACAATCGACTCAGCAGAAATAGAAATACTCGTCCAAACCCTAATCACAGAATTCCTCCAAGGCGGCGGTTCTGGAGGTGGACGGATCAACATCCCTTCGTCTTCTTTCACACATAGGCCACCAATGAACCCCTGAAATTTGATTTTCCAGTCCGACAGCACGATGTCGACCACCAGAACCTCCATGCTTTCACCAATAGCAATCTGTTTCGTCAAAACTCGTTCCCAAACTGCCGAAGAATAACAGCTCGGCTTCGTCTTCAACATTCTGCAGCACCCTATCTTCCCCTTGCTAAACACGTCCCCTGCCAAAATCAGAAGCCTCGAACCCTCCTGAAAGCTTCCTCGCTTGTTCACTGCTCTTGTAAAGCAGAAAAAACAAAAGCTTCGTCCAAACCAAATCAAGATTCACCACAATTGCAAGCCAGAAAGAAAACAAAAACGAAACAAAACAAACCCCGCGATAACAACAGAACTCAATACCCTGAGAAGATATATGAGATTAGTTGCCTGCCGGGGAGAGATCGACCGAACCCACGGCCTGGATAGGCCGCCGCCGGAAAAAAACCCTAGGACGTGCCTAGGAGACAACCGCCGTAAGAGATACGATAACTGAATAAACTTACTGTTCGGCGGTATATGCTTTGTGCATACTTTTTTATTACATTATTTAATAAGTATTCCATTGATTTATGTATATGTATTTGGATTGAGATTCTTTTTTTGATTTTTTTATATTTATGCGGAGCCTCAATTTTACATTTGGAATCAGGACCTTCAAAATCAATAGACGGCCCCGTTGAGTGATTATTACTTATAGTCAAAGAACCTACCTATACCAATATTTTTTGACATAAATAGGCGCACTCATATTTTAATAAAATCATCCAACAACATGCAATACAAGTTGGTGGAATGTCCTTCCAAAAAATACAACTTGTCTAAGAAACATTGTAACGCCCCAAAATCTGGTCTAATTGTTAAGACCAGATACGAATAAAATTATAATAACAATTTAAATAAATAATTATAATTTGGTCAAAATTGGGATTTTCTTCCTAATTATTTCTTCCTAACTTTACTAAAAACTCTTAAAATTTATTTCTACCGTACATAAAAGAATTATGATTAAAAGATAAATAGCATGTAAAGTACTAGGTCAACACGATAAGAACTACTACAATTACTAGCACTAAAATTTTATTCATATATACAAATTCTTGATGACTAATACAATTAATGAAGCTTGGAGGAGTAGTGACGCAGCATCACAAAATCCTCATCATAGGACACTTGGCTAGTTGGCTTCAATAAACATTATATTCTCTAAGAATGCCTAGGATCACATTTGAAGGTTAAATTGACCATATAAATAGATGAAATCTTCCATTAGATTTTACATGATCAAGCTAACCAAATAAATACTCCGTATTATTGTAAGAGTTTGAGAAGAGATAGCCGTACGTATTGAGTACTATCTTGAGGATTTCAGATAAATTTTGTCTATAAGGTCAGTACGTTCCCGCCCCCGTTTAGATTAGTATGATATTGTTATGTTAATTTCCGTCCCCGTTTCCTGTTATGTTATGGGGATGATGAACATTGTGTAAATTCAAGATATTTTGTGTCTTTTAGAAAGTATATTCTTTGAATTCATAAGAACTATTACACTAAAAAGAAACGGCCATACATATAGTAAATAAAGTTTAGCAGATTAAAGCTTGTTCTGTGTAGTTTTGTTAGTGATAGGAATTTTCATAAATATACGTGGTTAATATGTTATCTAAAGTATCTATACACGTATAAACTGAAAACATATGTTTACGTAAGTATATTAAATAATATAGTAAAAAGTTAGTGCCTTAGCTTTATAACCTATCCATTAGCTCATATACACACGTATAATATAACCTGCATATTAGGGTGTATATATATGAACTTATAATATATACGTAAGTGTTTAAAAATAATATACTAATAACATGCTTGCATAATCTAATGCTTAACATAAGTATAAAATATATACTTCCAATTAACAAATACGAAGTATGTATTAATTGATTGATTAATGTTATTTATATATACATATGATACGTAGTATATGTTCTCCATGTTACGTGTGTATATGAAGTATAGGAATTCTTAAAATGTATTTCTGGAAAACAGGCGTAAAGTATGTATATGAGTTGCTTGCTTATGTGAGTTTACGAACATATATTTTTTTTAAATGACTTCAGTAGAATTAATACTTTAATTTTATTTAAATTACTATACGTAAGTAATAATTAAATATTAAAGTTATATTTTCTGAAAAGCCTTGCTCTCGGTCTGGCACTCTGACGTGAATACTTCTGTTCTGTTTAGTGTACTACGTACACTCCTGAAATTCTGTTTTAGAGGAATTAGTGTTCTCCTGTTTAGTGTACTTCGTACACTCCTGAAATCTTTTTAGAACACTATTACTCTTCTGTTAAGGATCGGGTCTCTTCGGTGATCTCGTCCTTTCTGTTCAGCTAGCTTCTGTTAAGGATTGGTACGTGTAGCTCCGGCGATTACGTTTCCATATCCTTTCTGGGTAATGTGGGTACAGACTCGAGACTGTATTCCTTACCGTTAGTATTCCGCTGTCTAAGTCCAATTTCTTGAGTTTAAGGCTAAGTAAATTAATCTGTCTGATTAATGATACATTTTAAAAGAAAAAAAAAATGAATTATCTGATAATCGGAAATCTGAACTTGTTTTGTTATGTATATGAATATGCTAAAATACATGAAAATTTATCCAGCTCAAGTTTATCCAGCTCACTCAGGTATGGTTATTTGTTTGAATGATTACATGCTAATTATGATATGCCGTTATATGCTTCAATATGTTATGTGTTATTACCGTACCACTCAGCACATTGCTGAGCGGGTAGTTGTTTGTTTTTCCTACCCGTAGGTCAAGTCCAAGATCAACCTGAAGCATCGGGATGAAGGGAGGCATAGGATTCATATGCATATGGTCTGTTTTGGGGTTCTTTAAAGTATGGAATGTGTATTTGAAATAAACTTATTTTGATATTTTGTAAGAACCTTCCGCTGCAGCTAAATGAATTTTGTAATGTTAACGTTATGTCTGTTTGATAAATTTTTACTTATTTTGGGCTAATGTGTTCCAGTTATTCAAAAATAAAAGTATGTTTGTAAATCTATTAAATATGGTCTAACCTGATGGAATTTTTAAATAAGTCCGTTTCGATTTCTGCCTCGTGACACACCGCTCGGGTCGGTGGGGTTGATCCGGGTGGGGTGTTACATTTTGGTATCAGAGCAAATGGTTTTAAAATGATTCTTTTAAACCTGGGGTAAATGGGTTGTACTTTTTTTTTTTTTTTTACACTGTGTGCGTTGCATTGCATATTAGAAGTCCGCCTCCCATCCACTTAAGTTAGTTAAATTATAATGAACATTAAATAATGGATTCTTGTTCTACGCATTTTTATATACGCGTGCGCTTAAATTGCTTGGTCAATATCTAAGAGTTACTTTTGATGAAAATATTCATGGTTCCGGGGAGAAGCATAATTATTAATCAAAATAATTAAAATTTACTTTTGACCTTTGGGTAAGAAGTTTTATGTCATTCTCGGTCAATTTACTATATAGAGAATTTGACAAAATTGTCGGTATGAATTAGGCTGTTTAAGATAGAGTTGTAGTGAATTGCTAAGTAGATACAGATGAATCACATGTACTAATACCCAGAAATGTGAAGATCGATAAAGATTTGACATATGAAGAAGAACCGGTATAAATACTCGCTAGAGATGTAAAAGTGTTAAGAAATAAAACTAATCCTTTAGTCAAAGTCCTCTGGAGAAACCACACCACGGAGGAAGCGACATGGGAAACAGAAGAAGCTATGCTGACTCAATATCCACATCTATTCAAGGACACTAGCTAAGGTAATTTCGAGGGCGAAATTTTTTTAAGAGGGAGAGAAATGTAACGCCCCAAAATCTGGTCTAATTGTTAAGACCAGATACGAATAAAATTATAATAACAATTTAAATAAATAATTATAATTTGGTCAAAATTGGGATTTTCTTCCTAATTATTTCTTCCTAACTTTACTAAAAACTCTTAAAATTTATTTCTACCGTACATAAAAGAATTATGATTAAAAGATAAATAGCATGTAAAGTACTAGGTCAACACGATAAGAACTACTACAATTACTAGCACTAAAATTTTATTCATATATACAAATTCTTGATGACTAATACAATTAATGAAGCTTGGAGGAGTAGTGACGCAGCATCACAAAATCCTCATCATAGGACACTTGGCTAGTTGGCTTCAATAAACATTATATTCTCTAAGAATGCCTAGGATCACATTTGAAGGTTAAATTGACCATATAAATAGATGAAATCTTCCATTAGATTTTACATGATCAAGCTAACCAAATAAATACTCCGTATTATTGTAAGAGTTTGAGAAGAGATAGCCGTACGTATTGAGTACTATCTTGAGGATTTCAGATAAATTTTGTCTATAAGGTCAGTACGTTCCCGCCCCCGTTTAGATTAGTATGATATTGTTATGTTAATTTCCGTCCCCGTTTCCTGTTATGTTATGGGGATGATGAACATTGTGTAAATTCAAGATATTTTGTGTCTTTTAGAAAGTATATTCTTTGAATTCATAAGAACTATTACACTAAAAAGAAACGGCCATACATATAGTAAATAAAGTTTAGCAGATTAAAGCTTGTTCTGTGTAGTTTTGTTAGTGATAGGAATTTTCATAAATATACGTGGTTAATATGTTATCTAAAGTATCTATACACGTATAAACTGAAAACATATGTTTACGTAAGTATATTAAATAATATAGTAAAAAGTTAGTGCCTTAGCTTTATAACCTATCCATTAGCTCATATACACACGTATAATATAACCTGCATATTAGGGTGTATATATATGAACTTATAATATATACGTAAGTGTTTAAAAATAATATACTAATAACATGCTTGCATAATCTAATGCTTAACATAAGTATAAAATATATACTTCCAATTAACAAATACGAAGTATGTATTAATTGATTGATTAATGTTATTTATATATACATATGATACGTAGTATATGTTCTCCATGTTACGTGTGTATATGAAGTATAGGAATTCTTAAAATGTATTTCTGGAAAACAGGCGTAAAGTATGTATATGAGTTGCTTGCTTATGTGAGTTTACGAACATATATTTTTTTTAAATGACTTCAGTAGAATTAATACTTTAATTTTATTTAAATTACTATACGTAAGTAATAATTAAATATTAAAGTTATATTTTCTGAAAAGCCTTGCTCTCGGTCTGGCACTCTGACGTGAATACTTCTGTTCTGTTTAGTGTACTACGTACACTCCTGAAATTCTGTTTTAGAGGAATTAGTGTTCTCCTGTTTAGTGTACTTCGTACACTCCTGAAATCTTTTTAGAACACTATTACTCTTCTGTTAAGGATCGGGTCTCTTCGGTGATCTCGTCCTTTCTGTTCAGCTAGCTTCTGTTAAGGATTGGTACGTGTAGCTCCGGCGATTACGTTTCCATATCCTTTCTGGGTAATGTGGGTACAGACTCGAGACTGTATTCCTTACCGTTAGTATTCCGCTGTCTAAGTCCAATTTCTTGAGTTTAAGGCTAAGTAAATTAATCTGTCTGATTAATGATACATTTTAAAAGAAAAAAAAAATGAATTATCTGATAATCGGAAATCTGAACTTGTTTTGTTATGTATATGAATATGCTAAAATACATGAAAATTTATCCAGCTCAAGTTTATCCAGCTCACTCAGGTATGGTTATTTGTTTGAATGATTACATGCTAATTATGATATGCCGTTATATGCTTCAATATGTTATGTGTTATTACCGTACCACTCAGCACATTGCTGAGCGGGTAGTTGTTTGTTTTTCCTACCCGTAGGTCAAGTCCAAGATCAACCTGAAGCATCGGGATGAAGGGAGGCATAGGATTCATATGCATATGGTCTGTTTTGGGGTTCTTTAAAGTATGGAATGTGTATTTGAAATAAACTTATTTTGATATTTTGTAAGAACCTTCCGCTGCAGCTAAATGAATTTTGTAATGTTAACGTTATGTCTGTTTGATAAATTTTTACTTATTTTGGGCTAATGTGTTCCAGTTATTCAAAAATAAAAGTATGTTTGTAAATCTATTAAATATGGTCTAACCTGATGGAATTTTTAAATAAGTCCGTTTCGATTTCTGCCTCGTGACACACCGCTCGGGTCGGTGGGGTTGATCCGGGTGGGGTGTTACAAACATAACCGGCCAAGATATCGGCTCACGATTCGCAGATGGCCTTACATGTCTAACACACATCTGTACCTAAAGACTTAAGATGTAAAAGATCAGCAAGCAAACTATCAAGACAGATGCACTGGAGCTTATCTAGGATTCTAGGGTCTATGCTCAGACCCTGGAGATACTAATTTAGGAAGTAACATATGCATGAACCAAACAAATTAAATATACTCTTATTGAATTGGGGCTTGCTCATGGAAATCCATTGACTTAGTCACCCAAAAGGTTACAACTAACAAAACAAATTATGAGGTTTCACTCATTTTGTTGCCCAAGAAAGAAGGACGAATTGTCACTGGCTCTTGTATAGGTTTCTGCTTGTAACACTACGCCTTTCTGTAATGAATTTCTTGTACCATTTTGCCGATAGTTTTGGTGTTCTCTTCATAGTGATACGATCCACGTGGTAAAGACCCAAACGTTTTGAGTATCCAAATCCCCACTCAAAGTTATCAAGCAATGACCAAACAAAGTAACCTCTCACATCTGCTCCTTTCCTAGTCATGTTCCCAAAAGAAAAACAAGAAAACACCTTGATTGTTAGGAGTCGCATTCATTTGGTTCAATCTGTTTAGCTCATTTTTTGTTACTTTTTTCAAGAAAACATAGTAGATTGTTACTAGTCACATGTCTTTAGCTTTTCATTTTGTTACTAGTCTTTTGGCCGCACATGTAGAATTGGTTAATAATAAGAAAATTTCCTAAATATAAATAAAATATACGTAGTAAATATTACTATTGTTTAGAATATCATTGTTTCTTTATCAAAATATAATTTATACTTTAGAGAATTTGTTGTTCTTTTAATAAGACTAAATAAGCCGTATTTAAGAAAAAGTTTAAACATACTTAGCACCAGTTTAAAACTTTTTCTAATTTTACTCATACTTTGAGAAATTTCTTAATAAAAAACACTTATTTTGAAGATTATGATTTTAAAAGTCTCCCACTTTTTGTTTATTATTATTATTATTATTATTATTATCATTATTATTATAAAATGCATTTTAAATAATATCTTTCATAATTGAAGAAATTTAACTTATTAAGTTACTTCAATCACAACTTCATTCAACATTTTTATATGTATAACAAATCAATCATTTGTTATCAAATATAAGCATCAACTATAGGAAGAGTTCATCTTGTTCTGATGTAATCCAATCAATAAAAAATTTTGTCCGAAAACTAATTTAATTGTCAAAAGCCACCCTAATTTAAAGGTTGATCCATGGCGTTGTATTTGGGATTTTTTAATTAGGGACACAACTTTTTTCAGTCTCAATATCAAACATATGACACTCAAGGTTATATTTCCACCACAATAGTTAAAAGTATTGTACAAGTGTTCTTCAAATGAAGGATTTTTTTCTAGCAATCTCAATTCTCATTAAGCTTAGAAAGTGAGACTAGTATTATATTAATATATTTACCATACCGTAGCGCGTTTTCCAGGGATCCTATGTATCCATTCAAGAATTCCACTCTCTTGGTATCATTCAACACCTCTTCAATGCTTGAGTTTGAATCGGTGAAATCGCAATAACCTGTAGTGCAATTTTAGTCAATTTGAAGAATCCACAGAAAAATTAAAATGATAGTTAAAGTATAATTTTATTATTTGTATTGAAATATGTGTCTCTGTTCTCACCATTTTCGGTAATATACAGTGGTATATCTGGGTATCTATCCCTCACATACATGATTACTTTCTCCATTCCATCAGGATAAACAAATAGATAGTACAACCCTGTCTACACAAACCAATCGATAGGCTTAGAAATGGCAATATGGCATGACATGAATTATTGCATTATGAGAATTTGTTTTCTTAACCCAAGAAATGTGATATGATCTATTTTAAGATATACCAATTATTTTGCTCTGATTTCATATGTCGATTCATGTTATGAATGGCTATTGCCCTGAATTGTTATTATCCAGTTCTGTACGAATCTTTTTCATCTGAGATGGTAAAATGCTTCTAGTCCGAATTAGTATGTTTTTGTCTAGTTGAATTAGGCCTGGTTTGATATGTTTGGTTTCATTCCATTGGTTAAAAAACAAAAAGTAATACTTTCTCTTTTCGTATATAATTGTCCATGGATTATGAATTTTGAGATGATCATGATCAATTATTTTAGATTGAAAACTGAACATCTATTATGTCGTGGATGTTAGAATTAGTAATAATAAGTAAAAGATAAATCCATTGAAGGATAATTCAGTGTCATGTAAAAGTACCTCCTCCCCAATAGTGGTGCCATTCTTTCTTGGAGTTTTAGAAACAAACCCTTCTACTTTGTAGTTTCCAGGATCATTGGATTCACACTTGGAAGACAAGCAATCCTGAACATAGTATGTGGTATAA